TTCAAAAATATATTTTTCATTAAAATTGAATAAAAACTGTTGAAATTATGATAGGATTAACAAAAGCAAGCCTAGTCGTCAGGAGAACCTGCCTTTCCCTGACTCCCCTGTTTGGCGTCTTCTGTGCGGTAGAGCGCATATTGCAAATATATGAATTGTTTTATCATTTTGTAGAACTTTTCACGTCCTACGTTAAACTCTTTGAATTTTAAAGAAATTCTGAGTTTGAAAGAAGTTATGAACTTTTAAAGCAAGCCTAGCCATCTGTAGAAGCTGCCTTCCCCCGACACCCTTCTTTGGCTTTTTCTGTGCGGTGGAGCGCATTTGGCACGTAGTTGAATTTTATAATATTTTATAGAAAAGTTCAAGTCCTACATATTACTTTTCGAATTTTTGAAAATTTTTGATTTTGAAAAAAGTTATGAGCTTTTAAAGCAAGCCTAGTAATCAGTAGAAGCTGCCTTCCCCGACCCCTCCTGTTTGGCGGTTTCTGTACGGTAGAGCGCATTTGGCAAGTAATTCATTTTTATACAGTTTTGTAGAACTTTCTAAGGTCTACATTTTACGTTTTGAATTTTCAAAAAATATCTATATTGAAAAAAGTTATGAGCTTTTTTGTGAAACAACTTTTTTGAAAATTTTCGAAAAACTGATTTTTTTTCAAAAATTCAAAACTTTGAAATGTTTTTTCCTCAAATTTAGATCATAGAATCAATAAATCGATACCTTAAAAAAGTCCGATGTGGGACATGGAATATCTTTTAATATCTCCATCATTGCCATTTTTTGATCTTCCGGAATAAATAAAAAAATTGCTAGCGAATAAAAAAATGCCAAAATTATTCGAAACGAATAATAAAGGACTTTTGTACATTTTCGAGAAATTCGAAATCGATTCGATGGAATTGAATTGTGTCGATTTTCCAATAGAATTGTCATCGACATTATCATTACTGAAAAAGTCAAAATTTCAGAATTTTAGGATTTTAAAAACTAAAAAAAATTTAAAACTTACCATAAATACTCATAATACCTAACCAAATCTGTACGGGAACGGGGACATTTAGGAAATGTAATAATCCTACTGGAAATCCAGCAACAGCTGGAAAAATGAGATATGGGGTGATAAGGACGGAGAGAAGGATATCCACAAGGCTGGACCTGGAAAAATGGGGACCATTGAATTTTTGGAACAGTAAGAATTATTGATTTTTGCAGAATGAGTAATACATCTTAAATATCTACATTTCGCAATTTGAATTTCGGAAAAATATTGATTTTGAAGGAAGTTATGACCATAAACTCAAGTCTTGTCGTCAGGAGAAGCTGTCTTCCCGACCTTCCTGTTTGGTATTTCCTGTGCGGTAGAGCGCGTTTGACAGGCAATTGAATTGTGTATGGGTTTGAAGAAATTTTGATCACCTACATTTAACAAGTTGAATTTTTGAAAAATATCAATTTTGAAGAAAGTTATGAGTCTAAGCGTAAGCCTTGTCGGCTGGATAAGATTTCTTCTTAAGCTTCCAGTTGAGTGTCTCCTGTGCGGTAGAGCGCATTAGACAAATAACTGAGTTAAATGATATTTTGTAGAACTTTTCAAGGTCTACAGTATCCTATTTTAATTTTATGAAAATGTTGAGTTTGAAGAAAGTTATACGTTTTTTTGTAAAACAATAAAAACATTTTTTTTCAATTTTTAGAATTTTTGGAATTTAGGCTTATTTAGCCATCTTTTGTGTTTTCTGTGCGGTAGAGTGCGTTTGATAGGTAATTGATTTACATATGATCTTGTAGAACTTTTCAAGTCCTACATTTAGCTTTTTGAATTTTTAAAAAATATTGGTTTTAAAGGAAGTTATGATCCTAAACGCAAGCCTTGTCGTCAGGAGAAGCTGTATTCGCCGAATCTCCTGTTTAGCGTCTTCTGTGTGGTGGAGCGCATTTGGTAACTGACTGCATTTTATATCATTTTTAAGCAATTTTCAAAGTCTACATTATACTTTTTGAATTTTTGAAGAAAATTGATTATGAAGAAATTTATAAGCATTTTTGTAAAACAACTTTTTTTTCCAAAAAAAAATATTTTTTTTCAATTTCTCAAATTTTTAATTTTCTCAGATTTAGCCATCTTTATACTAATTTTAAGCAAATTTTTACGCTGATTTCAAAAATATAACTTTCAAAACAATTGAAACAAAATTCATGGAGTTATGATGAAATTACCAAACGCAATCCTTGTCGTCTGGAGAAGCTGCCTTCCCTGACTCTTTTGTTCAGTGTCTTCTGTGCGGTAGAGCGCATTAGGCAAATAACTAAATTGTATAATATTTTGTAGAACTATCCAAGGTCTACATTATCTTTTTTGAATTTTTCAAAAATATCGGTTTTGAAGAAAGTTGTGATCCTAAACTCAAGGCTTGTTGCCAGTAGAAGCTGCATTCCCGGACTCTCTTGTTCAGTGTTTTCTGTGCGGTAGAGCGCAATTGGCGCGTAATTGAATTTTATATTATTTTTTAGGAAATTTCAAGTCCTACATATTACTTTTTGGATTTTTGAAAAATATTGATTTTGAAAAAAGTTATGAACGTTTTTGTAAAACAACTTTTTTTTGAAAATTAATTTTTTTCCAAATTTAAAAACTTTTTTCAAAACCCACCAAAAATGCAAATTGAACAGTGGCCATCGATAAAAAGTCATATAAACCGGGGTCTTGAACAGAATACAGTAACCACCGAGTAGATGAAACGGTAGCACAACTACAGTAATCGAATGCGAAGTGAATGCTAATCCTTGCCATGTACACAGAAAGTTATCGCATTTCTGGCATTTTGTGTAGTTTGTAGTGTAGTAGTCGTGGATGGACATTGTTTCTGGAATTTAGAATCTGAATTTGAAAAAAAAATTGAAAAAAAATTGGAAATATTTTTTTTCTGAAAATAAACTAGAAAGATTTTGTCAGACATCACTTTTTCTGTCCTAATGCAAATGTCATAAATTTCGAATTAATTTAGGTGAATTTAATTTTTCAGAGTACCTAATTGAATTTAGAAAATTCTAGAGACAAAAAGTGTTTTTTTTTCTGAATTTTTTTTTCAGAAAATAATAAATTATAAAGTTCAAAGATGAGAGCAGGTGCAAATTTTGGACTTTTTAATCCAAATTTTCAGATAAGAAACGTTCTTCTAGAATTTTCCAATTTTGCGAATTTCGGAAAAAAAAAGTTTGCAAAAAAAAATTGAAAATCAAATTTCCTTTTTTTTTTGAAAAAATTCAAGTTCAAACAATGAATCAGAGCTAAAAGTCAAAAAAAAAACAAGAGTTAATTGACCAATTAAATCAGAAGCTAAGAGATCGAAAATCTCTGGGAAAAACAGTTTTTTAAAAAACACTTGTGACCGTGTAGCTTGTTTTGCTCCTCTGTCTTTGACTCCTTATATCTCCCGATCCATTAAAGCTAAGAAAAATTTGTAAACTACAAATTTGTGTAAAATTATATCGGCTTTATTTTTGCACTTGACAAAAGTTTTGTAACTTTTTTGGTTTTCGAGATATTTCAATTTTTCTAAAATCGTATTTAATTTATAGGTCAATCGGTACTAGTCGTCTGCGATCGAGACTTTTTTAAGATCAAAAGATAATATAAAATTTATTTATTTAAAAAAATAAAAATGAAAAAAAAAAGAATCAAGTAGAAGAGCCAAGGAAGAGCTCAGAGAGCAGACAGAATGACCAATAGAGCTCCTGAAAAATCAATGTTTTTTTAGTATCCGTCTTTTCTCGTGTCTAGTGAAAGATATCAAAAAGTGGTCCACTAATAAAATGTTCATCATAAAATTCTACACATTTTGATAATTGAAAAAATTTTAATATCTTAATTAGTAGCCGAGATAATTAGGGTCAAAGTTAATGAACCTTCGACTCTAATTATCTCGGCTAGGAACAAAGATACCGAAAAGAGATAAACTGACGAATGTTTGATCATAAAATTTTATACAATTTATTAATCAACATTTCTTGATCTCTTTTTTTTCAAACTCACCAATTCCAAAGTACATAAAATTGAAATTGGCAGAATTGATTTCAGTAGTTTCTACTGGTTTTTCCGTTGATGGTGGCGGTGGCGGTGGTGTTGGAGTTGCTGGAGTTGTAAGTGGAGGTAGACAAGTTATAGTATTCAATAATTCGGTCATTTTCAATAGTGGGTTTGGAGCGATTATATATTTTATCACTTCATTATTTGGTACTTGAACCTTATTCGGTACTCGAACCGGTCGATAACCAGGAGGACACGGTGGGGGTCTAACAGGAGAACTGCCGAGAGGTGGAAATGGTTTCCGTGGCACTATTCCTACAGGGACCGCTGGTACCGGTGGATGGGGAATCCAGAATCTTTAAAAAAAAGTTCTCAATGTTCTCAACTCCTAGTAGATTAGCTTGTTGATAAATTTTAAATTTTTAGAAGAATCCATCTTCAAAAGTTCGGAATTCAGGGAACCCTCGGATTTTCAGAAATTCCAAGGAAACAAGAAACACTGTAAATTACAAACCCATTTATGGTGGAAGTGAGGAGAGAACCAAGAGCCAGGAAGACAAAAACGGACGTTGGGCGGATCATTGGAAGATTCGAGAACTCAACGAACTCACAATTTCTTGACTTCATATCCCAGATACCCTAGACCACTTCCCCAGATGTCATTGTCAGATCAATTAACTTTTTATTTGAGAAAAGCTTCTTTTTTCGCGTAATTTCTGTGATGTTGATGAAAATGACCTAGAGCTTCAAATTTTAGCTGAAAACATTCAAGAACTTCCTTCTAGAGGTTCCCAAAGGCCGATCCACATCCCTTAAAATCAAATTTACAGGATAATTCAGGCAAGATTAGTTCAAAAGAAGAATATAAACACAAAATTTAACATAATCAAAATCTTTATTCATTATGTCAAGTATGAAGTATGGATTCTATCAATCATGTGTGGCCGTGTAGTCCCATTGGACAGGATCAGAGAGCAGCCAGAACGACAAATGAGGCACCTGGAAATTTAAAATTTAGGGTTACGGTACTAGAATTTCCTGGAAACGTCTCGCCAAAAATAAGACTAAAATATGATGAAAGTTTTCGAGATCAATTTACAAGAACCGTACAAATTCCATATCTCATAAAAGTGGCTGAACCTTCGACGGGGGTTGTTCGGAAGTCTCCGCGGGAAGGCCCTGTTGTTGTTTCGCCGCCAAATGTACTTTCAGTTTTCCATTGAAGGGTCTAACATGGGTTTTTCGGGTTTTTCCTATTTTGGTTCTACTTTTGGTTCTGGTTCTGGCTCTGGTTCATAATCTTCTCCAAAAGCCACAGCGATCAATGCAAGAGCCAAAAAGAGCCAATCGTTTTGTGGAACATTTCTAGTCTGACTAGGGAAGGCCCCAACTCGGGTGTGGCGATACGGGTGGTGACCTATATCATCTGAAAGCTGACATGTTCTTGATTCCAAATCTTTTTTAAAAAATGTCCTCTCCCCTCTCCTCTCCCTGTTTTCCTCCCCTCTTCTACGCCCTCCCCACTCCCTCTCCTGCCGCTCCCATGTGGTCTAGTGGTTAGGATTCGTGGTTTTCACCCACGCGGCCCGGGTTCGATTCCCGGCATGGGAAGTTTCTTTTTTTTTCTTTTTTGAACTATATGATAAAATCAGATAAAGATCTGGAGCAAAGATAACAGTGTGTAAATCTAAGGATGGGTTTCAAAAGGAAGTTAATCAGTGTTTTCAAAATAGTTCACTAGGGAAGGCCCCAACTCGGGTGTGGCGATACGAGTGGTGACCTATATCATCTAAAAGCTGAAAATTTCCTGATTCCAAATCTGTTTTCAAAAAGTGCTTTGTCGCGGTAGTTTTCGAGAGAATCAGGTCAAAAGTTTCGAAAAATGACGTGGATTTTTCATCTCATTTTCCTTCCTCACGTATATAAGTTTTGAAGCGTTGAAAGAATGTGGAAGCGTGGTCGAATGGTTAGTGAGAAGGAATATCAAGTGATGACTCTCTGGTTCGACTCCCTCGAGCTGCTTAACTTTTTTCGAACTTTTTTCTTCGTTTTTTCCTGGTGACTGTATCTGACTTCTTGGTGATCCTATATGATTCCATATACTTGGAATTGCTTTCAATTTTGATTTTAACTGTTTTCCTGTTATTTTCGAAATTTTTGTTTTCATCCATTTTTCCACAATTTTCAAAGGATTGTGATCCATTGAAGATTCTAGGCAAACCGTATGTTTTTGATTTTGCTCAAACTATTGTCATTGATACTATTGGGCACGCTGATTACAGAACTAAAATCAGTTTTTTCATTATTTGGGGATTTTCCAATGTTTATGGTATTTTGATTGCTTGTCTACAATCTGACATGATTTCCTCTTTTTTTCGAAAAAAAAAAATCAATTCTGAAAAATTCAAAGAAAAAATTCAAAAAAAGTTTAGCAGCTCGAGAGAGTCGAACCAGAGAGTCATCACTTGATATTCGTCCTCACTAACCATTCGACCACGCTTCCACATTCTTTCAACGCTTCAAAACTTATATACGTGAGGAAGGAAAATTTTATTGAAAATTCACGTCATTTTTCGAAACTTTTGACCTGATTCTCTCGAAACTACCGCGACAATGTACTTTTTGAAAACAGATTTGGAATCAAAAAAATGTCAGCTTTCAGATGATATAGGCCACCACCCGCATCGCCACACCCGAGTTCGGGCCTTCCCTAGTGAACTATTTTGAAAACACTGATTAACTTCCTTTTGAAACCTATCCTTATATATACAAACTGTTATCTTTGCTCTAGATCTTCATCTGATTTTATCATATAGTTCAAAAAAGAAAAAAAAAGAAACTTCCCATGCCGGGAATCGAACCCGGGCCGCGTGGGTGAAAACCACGAATCCTAACCACTAGACCACATGGGAGCGGCGAGAGGGGGGAGTGGGGAGGGCGTATAGGCGGGAGAGGAAAGTGGAGCAAGGAGAGGGGGAGGTGGAGGGGAGAGGGGAAATTGAAATTTGGGATTTTGAATTTTGGATTTCTAAAAGATTCTAAAGGGTTAAGAAATGAGATAGCATATTAAGATTGATCGAAAATTTAAGATTATTAAAAAATTGAGAATTTTAGGATCAAAAACTGTAATAAATTTCAGTCGCGATACTCTACAAACATCGATTTCTTCATAATTGTGACATCTCCATCAAAATATTCTTTCGTCAGATTCCCATCTTCTTCTGGAGCATTCGTCAGGGAAATTCGAATTCTGTCTTTTGCGTCTGGCTTATATTGAAATCCTTCACAACTGATTTCGATGATCTTATTGCTTTTTGCATTGATGGTTCCAATTGTGTCCTGGAATTTATTTGTTTTTCTTATTCGAGCCTAATTATCTTGGCTAGAGATAAAGATATCGAAAAGATGCTATTTAATAAATTGTGTAAAATTTTATGGTGTACATGCTAATAGTTGACAAATTTTTCATATCGTTTAAAGGAGCCGAGATAAATTAAGTCAAAGTTTAAGCGCGCTACCTATCGTCTTTTGAACTATACCGCTTCTTTGAATTTAAAGTCCAAGCGCGTCCCCGCTTCTTTGACCCTAATTATTTCGGTTCCTGTACACGTTATCAAAACGTTATAAACTGATGAAATGTTTAGCATTAAATTTTACACATTTTATCAGTAGACTACTTTTTGATATCTCTTACAGTAACCAAGCTAAACTCACCCCAATTTTCAAGTGCTCCGGATTTCCATCCACTTCAATCTTGTACGCAACTCTTGCCCAAAACAAATTTCTGATTCTGAACCGTCCAACTGGATTCAAATCAAATGGAGCACAAAAGACAATCGATGAGCGTGGCTCCAAAATTATTTCCTTCTTTTTCAGGTCCCGTAGCCCTTGAAGCTCATGGGTAGATGGTTTGATGTCCACGATTTGGACGTCTGGGTCTTCTTGAGCATCAATTTTTAGGTTTGGGTATGGAGGAGGAAGATACGGTTTTGGAAGAAATTGAGCAAGTTGGGGAGATTGCATTGGAGCCAATGGTGGAGCAAGTATCGGAGTTGGAGCTGTAGAAACTAGTGGGGCAGGCAATGGGGCATTGAAATCTAGAAGAGTACATGGTTTTGGCGCCAAATTTCCGTTTTTCAAAATAAAAACACTTACTTTGATTAATACGATTATTGAATTGAATTTGCTGATCAGAATACGCGGGATTTTGAACTAATTGCTCAGCTGGTTCTTCTGAAAACTGTTAGATTAAATGCCTGTGATATCAGCTCAAATATCTTGCTTCCAATGAATGATATCAAAAAGTTGTTTACTGTTAAAATGTTTATCATGAAATTTTACACATTTTATTGGTCAACAGATTTTTGATATCTTTTACATGCACCGAGATATATTAGGTCAACGTTGAGAGCCAAAGGAGCCTCTAGCTTCTCTGCGCTCTCCTCCTTGAGCGCTGCTATCTCGTTGACCAATAAAGCTATCAAAAATTTATTAACTAGCAAAATGTGTAAAATATTACGATGAACATTTTATCAATTAACAACTTTTTGATATCTTTTACAGGAACCGAGATAATTAAGGTTATAAAGTTAATAGCTAACAAGGGAAGTGTTTTCAGAGGGGCGTTGAGAATTAGCTCAAAATTTGTACAAAGGTACTTTCGAGCATGCTGAATACGATTTCAGCAATATCTCGGTCATAACCCTAATAGGAACAAAAATATGGGCTTTCAAAGTGTTTTCAGTACTAAATTTTGACCAAAAACGTGCATTTTTCGAGCTTTAAAGGTGGGGGGACATGAAAAAAATAATGTTCTCGAAATTCCGTTCAAAGATGCCCCTCGAGGAGTTGAACTTGTGAGGGCGATGATTGAGGGTGCGGCGCCGCTAACGACTGAGCCACGCGGGCAAAGAGAAAGGGCACGCCCGATTGCATACATAAAGGCGAGGACGACAGCTGTACGCAGAGTGACATTAAGCGTTGTACACCGTCACGGTAGAATGCATACTCTAGCTACAAAAAAACTACGAAAAATCTCCTATCTCTCCACCTTTAAAACTCTTTTTCCAGGATTTTTTCAAGCGGGAAACTCTTTTTTGATCATTTCTCTATCATCTGAAATATTTTTGTACAATTAAAAAAAATTTTTTTTTTTCAAAAAAATCATCATGGGGTACCCCACACTTTACAAGTGATTTTTTGAGAAATTTTTTGAAAGTGCAAAAAAGTCTTTCAAACACTCAGAAATGATGGAAACATCATTTTCACAGAATTTGGCAGCGCGATTTCGTCTGTGAGCCCTGATAATTCACCAAAATCTGATAATTGCAAGAAATTTGAAAAACTGTAACTTCTCAAATATTTCTCAAAATCGCACGGATACACAGAAATATGTAAAGATCATGTGGGTGATAGATTTGGTGGTAATCCACTCAAAAAAAAAGCAAGACGGAGCAATTCCGAGAGTCGAAAGTTTTGCTTTTGGGCGATAGGGCAAGTCGAAAAAAACAATATTTCAAAATTTCTTCAAAATTTCAAACGCCTTCTTTTTCACTTTGAAAACGTCGGGAATTCATGAAATAAGTATAATTTGTTATTCAGGGGACCAAAATGGATATCGAAAATTCGTCTCGAAAAAAACAAAAAAAAGATTTACCACAGTGGGGTTCGAACCACCATAGTCAATCCTAATGAGTCTCCCTCTTACCACAACACCACACAGCCGATATTTTCCTCTGGCGGGGAGTGCGTATAGGAGAGAGGGGCGTAGTGGAGTGAGGGAGAGGGCGAAATCGACCAAAAATTTTCAGACGAAGATTTTTAGCTTGTTGATGATACTATGACCTAGATTTTTTCGTCATCGTGTTCCGGATATCTCAAACCATCAGTACTGAAATTTTTAGAAAATTCTCAACGCCCCTCTGAAAACACTTCCCGTAAGGAAGCCGCCACCCTAGCTTCTCTGAGCCCTCCTCCTTGATCGCTGCTTACGAAAAATTTTATTTTTTTTAATTTTCTAAAAGCACATATTTTGTTTAGTGAGCTCAAAAAATTTCAGCGTTCTAGATAGATTTTCAGCCGAGTTACAGCCTTTTGAAGCATTGACCGACGAGACAGCATGCAGAGGGAGGAGAGCGCAGACAGCTAGAGTGTCTGCGCCCTCCTGTTTCCACCTGCTGTCTCGCCGCCAAAACTTTGCTCTCGGTTCCCAGAGCAGCTTGGAACTTGATTTTTTCCAAGGAATTGTGTTAAAAAGTTTAGAAATTTATCTTATTTTAAAAAAAGTGCCCAAAATGACAGCATGTGGTAGTGTTCTAACACAAAAATCTCAAAAAAAAAATCTTGATTTTAGTTTGATTTTCTAAAAGCGCAATATTTGTTTAGTGAGCTCAAAAAATTTCAGCATTCTAGCTTAATTTTTGGTTGAGTTACAGCCTCTTGAAGTTCGCGGCAAGACAGCGTGCAAATGGAGGAGGGCGCAGACAGCCAGAGTGTCTGCGCCCTCTCTTTTCCGCCTGCTGACTCGCTTTCCAAAACTTCAAATTGGTGTATCTCGGCTCCCAGAGCAGCTAGGAACTTGATTTTTTGATAGAAATGTGTGAAAAGTTTAAAGATTTATTTTCGTTAAAAATTCATGAAATTTCGGTTTGTGACATGGCACAACTAGGCACCAAATTAACTTGCCGTGTTCTGTTTGAACAGTTTCTTCATTTGACACTAGCATATGTCCTTCTTTCTCTAAACGTTCTTGAAGAACTCGCTGAATGAGATCTCCTAAAAAACTTTTTGAAGAAAAAAAAAGGAAAATTTTTGAACTTACTATGATCATATTGGAACGAATTCTGAATATGCCCATTCACATTTTGGAGATCCACTTGATTGAAACTTTGGGTTTTTGGGATTTGAAGTTCTGAAGAGCCAGTAGGACATGGATTCTGATTCATGAAATAGCCAAAATGCTGTTGATACTGATTATTGAGAAACTTGTGGGACACATTGAGAGGTGTCTCTTGGCTGAGACGTTCGTCTGGAAATAGCATGGGCAAGTTGCCCAAGTCGTGGCCTTACCTTGAAAATTGATTCCTGGATGATTAAAATGCTGCGAATTCAATTGGGGTGACGGGAGCGTTGGATGAACTGAAAAATTTAGATAATTAGCCAATTAATTAGGCACCAACCATGCTGAATTATTGCCTTCAGCGGTCCACTACCATCCAGAGACCCATTATGGAATAGTGAAGGTTGAGGGACAGCTTGAGGCTTCAATTTCTTTCCTGAATTGAAATTTTTTACCCTAAAAATTAAGGAACTTTACTTGGTAGCTTCTGAGCAGCTGAGCGCTCTCTGTCTTCTGCAAGTGGCACATACATGATTGAGTGAGCGTTACTGTAGGGTACGCCAACCAGCTGTGGCAAGCCATGAACTGAAATTTCTGAACTGGTATGAATTTACAAACTTTGTTACACATTTCTAACAAAAAAACCTAGTTCCTAGCTGCTCTGTGAGCTGACATACGTCGATTTGAAGTTTCGGCCGGCGAGACACCAGGCGGAAGAAGGA